AAAAATAAAAAATAAATAAATAAATAAATTTAGTGTAGCCTAAATGTACAGTGTTTATAAAGTCTACAGTAGTGTATAGTAAATTTCTGGGCCTTCACCTTCACTTATGACCATTCACTCACTGACTCAATCAGAGCACTTTCAGTCCTGCATGTTCCATTTATGCTAACTTCCCTATGCAGGTGTACCATTTTTTATCCTTTATACCATATTTCTACTCTACCTTTTCTGTGTTTAGATATGTTTAAATACACAAGTATTTACCATTGTGTTACAGTTACCTACAGTATTTAGTACAGTAACATGCTGTACAGGTTTGTAGCCTAGGAGCAATAGGCTATGCCATATGACCTAGGTTTATAGTAGGCTGTGCCATCTAGGTTTGTGTAAGTACAGAATGAAATTGCCTAGTGACGCATTTCTCATATATCCCTGTCATTAAGCTATGCATCACTGTATTTGCATTGTACTGTACTTGCTCGTTATGCATCCCTAAAATTGTAAATCTGAAATGCTCCTTTGAGCACGGTGTTGGCACTCAAAAAGTTTTGGATTTTGGAACAATTCAGATTTTGGGTTTTCAGATTAGGGTTGCTCATTCTGTACTATTATCACCACAACTCCATTCAGTCCATGAATGTTTCTCTTGAGTCTTAGTTGAATTGAAAATCCTATACTTTAATCTCTTTCTTTACATTTTTATTACTTTAACCCAAATCTACTGCAGTAGTATTATATTGGGTTTTCTGCATTCATTCTCTTGTCTCATTAATCCTAGACTTGTTGCCAGTAATATAAGATACCGCGTGGGCTATCTTACTCGCTTGCTTTAAAACTGTTGGTATATTATCTTCATTATTCCATTTAATAGGATCATTGTGAGGATGAAATGTATAATTATTGATATGAAAGTACTTTGTAAACTTACAGATGTTAGTGCAAAATAACATTTGTTTGCAGAGAGCTTTTATGTATATTATCTCAATAAGGTAGGTGATATATCAGCATATTGTATAGATAGGGAAGTTTGCATAGAAGGAAGGGGGCAGTATATTGTTTGACACACACACATATCTGTTTTTCCAGATTTTCAGAATCTTCTACAACCTAATTCTACATGCTCTTTAACCCCACCCTTTTTAGATATTTAACTCCAGTTACTTACCTTCAGAAAAATCTGTGCTTCATGAGTATACTCTGGATGGTTTAGGAGGAAGAGACATCCCACGGATGTATTTTATACTTGCCTGTTTCCCAACCATGTCAGTTCTGTTCTCTTCACTTTGACAGTTCTTTCCCTTCTCTCTGCTTCTCGAATTCCTACCCTTCTTCAAGAACCAGCTTTAAATCTTTTCTATAAAGTTTTTCCTGGACAAATGGGAGCATATGGTGCTTTTTCTGTACTCAAAACATTTATTGCATTGGTTGTTTTATTTTAAATTGCTCTTTATCTTTTACATAACTTTTTCTATCTTATTTTCCGATTATACTATAAATCCCTTGTGCACTAAAACCACTTACTTGCATGTAGTTGTGTTCTCTTCAGAGCTCTTATAACGCCTTTTATAAAGAGGACTCCAAAAGAATGATGTTTTCTTTCAAGATAATTGGCAAAATTACATTATTTAAAATTCTATAAATATCATGAAAATGTACTGATTCAGAAATAGATTGCTTAACTTTGGTTCAAATATTTTTCTAGTTTATACATGTCAATGGCAGAATATATACATAAAGATCATTAGAAATAGCATTTTGAGTTTAATACAAGTTTACTTTGCTAAAATAAAATTGGTATGTTTCTAGAAGTTGCATATATTTTAGAAATTATTTAAAGCAATAGTATATTATTTTAAAGACTGTGAAATGAAAATCATTTGTGTTTTTTAAATTATGTTTTATATTTTGAAATGACTTATAATAGAGGCCCACATGTGATTGTGATGCATGGTGGTGTGTCATAATAGGTTGGGATTATTTGCTAGCAAAACACAATATTTTTTGACAGTTCTCTCCAAAGATGCAAATACCGTTTATTAATCAAATGTAAGATTGGTCCATAGATGTGGTGATAATCATTAAATCTTATAGTTTAGGTTTCTGTTTTAACAGGTTAAAATAATTTATTTTTTTTTCTTTTAAACAGGTTGAATCAAGGGATTCTTTGAATAGCATAGCTCTGAAATTTGATACAACACCCAACGAACTTGTTCAATTAAATAAGTTATTCTCCCGAGCAGTTGTTACTGGACAGGTAATGTCTTTTTTCAGTGTTGATATTTAGAAGCATTAAGTAGTAAGACAGAAAGTATTCATTGCAATATATTTAATAATATAGAAAACTCGAGAAGAATAATTTTCTCCATGCTTTGAGAAAATCATATTGAGACTATACAAGAAAATTAACTCATTTATGTCTGTTTCTTTTTAATACATACTGAAAATAATTATAAATTATCTTTTTAAATATAGTTTTAAGGAGTGTTTTGAAATACTCAAAGCAGTACATGCATATGATAAAAAATTCCAACATTTTTCTAGGTAAGATATCCTTCTGTCTCAAACTTCCTCCCCAGAAACTCCAGAAGCAACCCGTTACCAGTTTGCATATCTTTCCAGAAATATTCTAGTCTTTTTGTATTTGATTTGATTTGATTTTTTTTACCTTTGGTTCTTGGAAAATGTTCTATTTAACCACAGCTCTATCTCAGACTTTTTCATGTGTGCGTAATGTTGCATTATATTGATAATATCATAGTTTGTTTAGTCACAATGAGCTTTAGACTGTTTTTACTCTTTTGCAAATGTCATCTTTGCTGTAATGAACACTCTTGTACATATCTGTTTTTCATTATATGCAGGTATTTCTACAGGGTAAATTTCTTGAAGTAAAATTACAGGGTTAAAGGATATGTGCATTTTTAATTTTGCTAGCTATTGCCAAATTATCCTTTAAACGAAATACCTGCAGTACATGAGAATTAGTGTTTTCCTACTCTATCCTGACAGTATGTATTTTCAAATGTGTCTAAATTGGTTTTAAATATCCTGTTTTTACTTTGGTAGGCTTGCTATGGTAATAAATATTCTCATAATATGAAAATTTTTATTGGTTGCTGAAGGTCATTGTTAATGGTGCTTGCTCATAGAACACCATGTGATTATCAGCATTTCAGTTTGACTGAATCTTTGTATGAATGTTTTCTTATAGGTTTTATATGTTCCTGATCCTGAATATGTTTCCAGTGTTGAGAGCTCTCCATCTTTAAGCCCCATAAGTCCTCTGTCACCAACATCATCTGAGGCTGAATTTGATAAGACCACTGTAAGTATCCCTGCTTTTTAAAGATGACTATGAAGAAATCTCACTGTTTATATATTGACCATCATGTTTTTTCATTCTACTTTGACTATGGTTAGGATAAAATTTTATTTTATTACTTAAATTTGTGAATCCCAGTTTTAAAGTGTAACATTCATATTAAACTAAATAGCTTAAATTGGTTTACCTATGGTGGTGGTGGTAGTCCAAAGATATTCATCAGCTCTGTCTTATAAGTAGTATATATAGTTTAACTTATGACAGAGATTTAACTAACAAACATAACATTAGCACAAATGGAAGTCTATATCTAATTTGATTTTTATTTCAATAATTAATAGTTGTGAATATTTATATATTACAAATCTTAAGTGAGTTTTTGACACTGCCTTTTTAAAAATAATTTATTATCATCTTAGTTACTCATCTGAGTAGATTAATTTATCTAACATTTCTAAGAAGTGAGTGTTCTATACAAGTTACAAATGAATTTCAAGGAAACAAACTTTAATTATTTTGATTAAAAATCTCTCTGAAAGAAATTATATATTTCTCTGCCTTTTCTACATAAATTAACCAATCACTATTTTCCATTTTCACAGTGACTTACTCTTTACATGTAAAAGTTTATTTCTCCATTAAATCTGTGGGAAATTCTTGTATTGCTCTGTTGATTTTGGGAGATACTCTTTTTATCCCTGCCTCAGTTTGCACTCCAATAAAGTTTAGGATACTGGGAAACTGATAACAGAACATAAATTTTTAATGTGAATTTGCCTACAATTACTTGTTTCTAAGCCCTAGTACTTCACTTTTAGTTTCTAAGCTCTATTATTCCACTTTATTCCACTTTTTTTAATGGAGTAAATTACATGACATTATTGATATCTCTTTTGCTCCTTTCCTGTGTGTGTGTGTTTAGTGAGAGAGAGAGAGAGAGAGAAGTGAGGTCTTTTTCAAAAGTTTATTTGTTGGATATCTTGTATGTATTAATATGGCAACACTGTACTTTAGAATGCAATCACATGTAAGGAATATATTACATTTGTTGTCATCCTCAATAAGAATAGAAGTCAGGTTTTAATGATGGGTATTGCTGACCAAATGACACAAGAATACCTTTTTGAGTGTAGCCATGCCATTTTCCCGTGGGAAAAGAGATGTTCTCATAAGACACCCTAAAGGAGAATTATGAAATGTTGACTGTAGCATGTTCCTGACAAGAAACCTTTGGGGTCCTTTCCTGTTGCTCAGCTTTAACCAAAATCTGCCTACCAACTGGCTTTCTTGGAAGGTATAAGATCAAGGAGAAGAGAGTGCTGAAGCTCAAGGGAGCAACAAGGCTTGGCTTCCTCCTACATGAAAATGCTCCCTTCCTCTCTTTTGCTATGTGGGTGAAAGAGATGGCGGGAATAAAGCCTTGTGAATGACCTTTTAACCCTCAGCTACCATCAAAGATGGCCCAAAATGTATCCTTAAATATGACCAGTCATGTGAATAAGTTTTCTCTCCCTGGAAGGATCAAGGAAAGAGGTAAGAAATGGAAGAATTCTTGAACTTTCTTTTACCTGGGATGATAGTCCACCTGCTCTCAAAAAGATTGTGGACAATTGTTAGAAATAATTCTTTTGAACACTGATTTTGTAAATTTTAGTTTTAGGGTTTTTTTTCTTTTTAACTAGAATTATATTCATTATGAGGCTCCAAAATAATATTCCTATATAACTTTCTGCATATCTCAAGTGCTTATATATCTGTGTTATAATTATTGGATTTATATCTCCCATACTATGTATAAGTTTCAAAGAAGCAAGGATATTATATTTTATTAGATATAATTCATGTTTGTATTACATTAATTAAAATAATTTGTATTGTATTTTCCCAGAAATTGTCAGTTTGTATTTCCAATAACCACTGATAGGTTTCCTGAATGTGCAGCTTTGTAATGGCTTATCTCTGAGGCTAAACTGTTATGTTCCTAGTTTGTTAGTGTAAAGGGCTTCAATGGTTTTTTGAAAAATTTGTTTTTACATAAAATACTATCTTTCGGAATTTCTAGGGTCATACAATTTTTGGGGTTTTTTCCCTTTTTTCTTTGATATGGATGAATAGACATAGGAGGAGGTAGAACCAAAGTGACAATAAAAATGATGAAAATAGCTAAAAATTACTCTGTCAGGTATAATTCTAAGCACTTTAAAAGTATTATCATTTATTCTTAACCTCAAATTTATGAGGTAAGCACTTGGCATTGGTATCTGTTTGCCCCTCTAGATCCACTCTCCACTGTTCTCTATCATCCTTTGGGCTGTGGGCCACACATCAGTGGACTCCCTTGCCCTTTTGCTTCTGTTAGTTTTGCCCTTTCTGTAGCATTGACAGAAATGAGAGGGAGAGAACAAGAGAGTAAAACAGGGGCATATTTATTTTCCTAGCTCCCTCCCTGTAAGGTCACTCCAGAGTGACCACATTCTTTAACATCTCATCTCTTGTCAGACAACCCTTTCCACAGAGCCTTTTCTGTCTCTAGGTTTAGGCATCTGTTTCTCTCCCTTACCTCTTTAAGGCTGGGGTGATAATGAAGCCTCTGTTGTTGCTCACCCTGGATTTTTGTATGACCTATGCACCTTTGTAAATAGTTCCATTATAAAACCCTCTTAAAATTATTCAGTTTGATCTGCTATCTATTTCTTCTAGTACTTGACTGCTATCCTATTATATCT